CACTGAATTTTTGAAAGAGACTAACAGAAATCTTGTTGGAAAATGATGGAAAGTCAATTTCTATCTCTAAGAGTTTTCTTGCCTTCTTTCTCCATACACTATTCCTGGAACTTTCATGTTCAATAATCAATTTGAAATCAATGTTCTGTCTAGACATGACTGTTATAACCTAACAGAATTAAATCTGCCACAGAGGAAGTCTAATGAGGTCCTATCAGTAGCAATAAATATACTCTCAGGTCTGGTTAAATTTTTTGGCCTAAAACAGATGATAAATGAATAATAATAAGGGATACACTTTTAGAGCAATGAAAACTTAAACCTAAATATTAAGAGTGGAATAAGAGCTATTTAAAATTCAAGCTAACAGATTCCAAGAAAGCAACACAATTTGTGTGTGTGTGAACACACGTGTGTGTGTTAAAAAGAGTACAGAGAGTCAGCCCAGAAACCAGCAGATTTTAAAAATATAATAAATAAGGAAAAGCCTATTCACTTAACTATCAAGCACCCTAAATCCACTCAATTCACATTTAAACTACAGGTGAACATCCTTATTAAGCTATCTTGAAACTAAGCAATGACCAGGTTTCCTAGCAGTCTATATTATTTAGAAATCCAACAGGGGTGGGGCATAGAATAAAAACGGGAGACAAATCAAAAAGGAACTAAAATGAAAAAGAACAAAACTATGGTATATTCCAGGACATATAGTAATAAGCAAAGGCATGCCCCAGTACTGACCCCGTTATTATACCTTGCCAAGACTATCTATGATCTTACTGACACTAGGGACAAGTGGCGACAGAAGAGAACTTGAAGAATCACATTTAAATCATTTAAATCAGTTACAAGACACATCAAAGATCAGGGGAAAAAAGGGAACTTAGCAAAACTGCAACAAATAAAACTTAGAATCTGGAGCAGCTTAGACATTACTAAAATCTCAGCCCACTGCACAATGCGTCACCGCACAGGAACAGGGAGTCTGGTGGACTGAAAGGTGACAGTGTCAGTAGTATCACAGGCAGCTCTGAGGAGGTGTGCTACAGCGACCACGTGAGGCTCATTTGCATAGTTTTGTGGGCGTGACTTGAGAATTCTTTTTCTCAATGGTGCAGTGCTGCTTATATTGCTAAAAGTTTTACTGTAATTCTTATCATGGCTGGTTGAGCTAATTTCCAGAAAACTACATTTCAAAACAAACCAGGCACACATTATGGTCAAGATTTAACCTTCAAAAGGATAAAAGTCTTATAACAGACCACAGATTATCACTTAGTATATCCTAAATCAGCTGAGTAGGAACCAAATCCAGCACCTGAATCCCAAGAGATTCATTTAACTAAGAAATCTCTGTAAAAGTTCCTTAAAATTAAAGTTAACTTGACAAAGGAAATAATCATGTTTTTTTAAAAACAAAAAAATCAAACTGATACCCTGAAACCACGCAGGGAATATACTAACAGTGAATACATTCTTCCATGATACTAGGAAAACTTTCAACCACCAAATCTCTCTCTCTCACACACACCATACAGTCCATTGATATCAACAAGGATTAAAAAATACATATCCTTAAAATTATTATGACACAAAGAATACTGGATCAAAAGTAAACACTAAATTTGATACACTGGTATCACTCATCATATCCAAGAATATGTAATTTTCCTGAGTATTCTATCAAGACGACTGGAGGGTTTATACCTAAGTCATAAAGAATATTTTTATTAATATATAACCATATAAATAAGCCACACACCTACTGTGTTTGCCTATCCTAATCATATTCTAATTTCAAAAGATAATAAAAACTTTCAACTCAAGGTCACGTGGAGATCATCGAAATCTCGATGACTGGCAGGGGCTCAGGAGGGGCTCGGAGCTGCTCTCCCCACCACCTCCACACTGCAGACTTCCTCAGCCCAGAGCTCCCGGGTTGGGGCAGACTGTCCTGAGAACTGTAGGACACTTGGCAGAAGCCCTGCTATTATATCTGAATTTAAAACAGTCTGCCTTTAGAAAAAAATATCGTTTACCATCTACCACTTGTTAGCTTGTTCAGAGAGTCTGTACTGCCAACTCTTCCTCCAGCCACACACACTCACTGACAGACACACACAGTATTGCCTGGTTGAATTGAAGAAGATGTAATAGAATCACTCCATTTCCATCTTATTTCAACAAACACAATGACCGTGACTCCACCAGCTCCCATACAATCCAAAGGAATCAGAATTTTTAGCTTACTTCAATGCAACTCAAATGCCATAGCAGCTACATCACACTAGGTAGGATAAATCCAAGTACCAGGACAAGTATTCAACTCATCTTCACATTTTAACAATCTGTGAGAAAAGATACAAATTAACCATGATACTTTCAGAAGAAAAAAAAAACTGAGAAGGAGATTATGTGTTTGGAAATACAATCTGAGGGGGATAAAAGAAATGAAAAAAAAAAAAAAACAATCAAAATCAAAGGGACTCTGAAAGCATGCCAGGATGAGAGCATAACTCTGAATGTTTCCCGTGAACTGCGAGAAGGACATGACACAGTTGGCCACAGGCTGTAAGAACAATCGCCATAATCACGCTCCACAATACATGCCATGAGATAAACTAAAACAAAAAATCAACCTGCACACAGCAAGCACCCACCCTATGTACCTGCGCTAAACTGTGCTTTCTTGCTAGGACCACTTGAGTTGGAATCAAATATCCACAGACGGAAAGCAGGCAACTTGATAAATTTTTTAATTCTCATAAAAATAGCCACCCTCGTGCTTCCAGCATGCCAAATTACAAATTACAAAGAAAAATCAATTAGAACAAACACAATTATCCATTTTTTTGAAAGTGCACTTGATTCATAACAAAGTCCTTATAAAAAGAGACCAAATACTAACAATGTTCATGTAGAGATTCAACCTTTTAAGATAAGTACAACTGTTTTTTCTATAGAAACACAGATTTTAGTTCAAGCAAGGTTATTTCTATTAAAAAAAAAAACCTAGGACAATACTTACATTAGCTTAATATAAATGAAATGGCTACCTACATGCTGTATAGCAGCAATATCATTATCGCCCAAATTCTAATTACTAACCTCCTGACCTGGGGAAAATAACCCTAACAAGAAATTCAGATCTTTTTACTCCCAGACCCAGCAGAGGAAGCAGTTTAGATCTGTAGCTACAACCTGCTTTTCCAGAAGTAATACCTTGCAACTGCTCAAGAATAACCTCCTTTCACCAATTAGTGTGGCTCAGGAGGCTTTGGGAGGAAATCAGGTCCACAATTCCTTGGTCAGTGGCCATGATGCCCCTCTTCCTCAAGGGCAACAGATCAGAAAAGGGAACCTGAGCAAGCCTTCGCCAGCGAGAACCAGAGAGACGGCGGAGCAAGATGAAAAAAGTACAAGGCCAAGTCATCCCACAAAACCAAGAGATTTAATGCTAGCAAGGCCTTCATTCATTTCAGACACACCATTGTTTCGTGTCCTCCGCAAACCATGCACAGAAAGAATCCTTAAGCGTGTTTCTTCTTCCATTTAAACAGACATGATTCTTTTGGTTAATCTCTGGCAATGATCGCCATTTCACAACACATTCAGCCCACCCGGAACTGATCAATACCACTACAGACATAAGACTAGACTCTATCCATTTAATAACCACAAGGAAATGTACCATTCAGCAAAATTCTATACATTACAACAGATTCTATTAGAGGGGGAGGGGTTGGGAAGACACACACACACACACACACACACACACACACACACACACACACCAGAGGTACACAAAGAAAAGACTACCACCCCTCTAATTTCCCTATGGCAAAGGAGATAAAGACATAGCTAGGCAACCTGTCAATTCTTCCTTCCTCCCTTCAGACACACACACACACCACACACACACACACACACACACACACACACGATTCTACTTCACAACCTAGCAAGTGGATATTGAATATTAAGCTGAACAGATTCGCTGTGACTTTGCATCGTTTCATCTGTGGAACTCTCTCTTCTGCCATGTCTGTCTGCACACCTTTGAGCTAGATGCTGCTGCACCCATGTATGGGATTTCAAATACAAAAGACCACTTTCTTCAACCACTGGTTGCAACCATCCAACGTCCTCGCAATACCCACATTTCAAAGGTAACAAGGCCAGGAGAGTCCTGAGCTAAAACCTAGTTTCCTGAGTCTCACACATTTAGTAGCAAATTAAAAAAAAAAAAAAAAAAATTCACACGGGCCGTGCTATACCGAAAACAATGCTTCAATACAAAGCGCATCAGAGAAGTATTCCGTAGGTAAGCAAAATGTGTGCACGCACGCAGCACACAAATGGTGGTCGAAAGCCAGCAGCACATTACCAACGACCCATCCGCTCCAGTCCTGGGTCACAGTCGAGGCTCCAACAACAACAACTACAACTATTTTTAACACCGCTGAACAGCCAAGTTGGAGAAAACGTGAGGGCAGCCCCAGATTACAATGTGGCAGGGTGCATTGTTTCTCGCCAGCGAACATGTAAGCAAGCCACGGGCTAGATCGTGCCAGTCCTCGCTGTAGCCCCAGAGAAAAGACGAAACCCCCCCCCCCCAAAAAAAAACACAGTAAACCACCCCTGTTTAAGGGTTGGCGGGGAGCCTTGCAGTCAGCGGCATTTCGGCATGCTGAAGCTTTGCAGAAATTGTCCCCTTGTGGTATCTGCGGCTTCACTTGCAAGTCAGCCAGCGCTGTCATCCAGCGTTATGGCCACAGACCATGACTTTCTCACTTTCACAACAACACAACACTCCACTGTTATCAGCTGGCCGAGCCGACTCCACACGCAGCAGGATTTCATGGAGGTTTTTCCGGATCCCCAATCAGACCTGGGGGTGGCAGCCGAGGGACTCGGGGGGGTGCGGGCGAGCCTCCCCGCGGCTCGGCGGGAGCTCTCCCACCCGACCACGATCGCGCCGCGCCGCCAACACCTACCTGAAGAACAAGAGATAAGAAAGACGGCGAACGCCAACTTTGCAGCAGCTCCCATTTTCCCGAGGCGCTGGGGAGAGCCGTAGCAAGTTCTCGCTAGATAGCCAGTCCCCTGGGTCTTCCTCGGAGACAAACCTCCTGGTGTAAAATCAACCGTCATAAAACATAGTCGGAAGCCCCGAGCAGGAAAAAAAAAAATAATAATGATAATGTTCACGGTTTAAAAAAAAAAAAGAGAGAGAGAGGAAAAAAGAGCACAACAATAATAATAAAAAAAAATGCACCACGGGAGGGGGGAAAAACCGCCACACACACGCACAGCACACAAAATCAAACAACGAAAAGCAACAACAACAAAAGCGGGTTTAAATCACTGTCAAAATCACTGTCAGCTGCGCTCGCCTCTCGGGTCTCTCGGAACAAAACGCCAGGCTGAGGCTACGAGAAGGCGGCGGCGGCGGCGGCGGCGTCCACTGCCGCCCGGACAGTCCGGCAACCGAGCTGGGTCCGACGTCCGGACCGACCTTCAACCCGGACACCTAAAGTCCGCGGACCACTGGCGACCGGGCTCGTGGTGGCGGCGGCGACCGAGGCAGCAGCGGCGCGGCTCGGGGCGGCAGGAGGCGGCGGCGGCGGCGGCGGCTGCGCTGCAGGCGGCGGCCAAGTTCTGGTCCAGGCTCTGGCTCCGGCTCCGGGCTCCGGGGCCCGGCCGCGTTTTCGGTCTCCTGGCCTCCGCCGGCCCCGCCCCCCAGACTTCCGGTTCCGGCCCGAAGCTGGAAGCCAGGCAGCGGAGGAACGCTCGGCGGCGGCTGTGGCGGCTGTGGCGGCGGCGGCGGTGGCGGCGGCCGGGCGCAGCGCGCGTGCCGGGCCGGGAGCGCGAGGAGATTGTCGGGGAAGCGCGGCGGGCTCGGGGGTGGGAGGGCCGAGAGTGAGGGCGGGGCCGGAGGGATGGCGAGGAGGCGGGGCGGACGGAGGCTCGACGCCGCGAGGCCTCGGCGTCCGGCCTGCTCGGGCGAGGGAAGCCCTCGACAAAGGGGCGCGAGCGGCCTCGCGGTGTCCCCGAAGCTGGGGACGACTGGATGGCACCGGGCACGCACGCGTCCGGCTTCCCGATCGCGGGGGGCCTGAAGAGACAGGGCGGGAGTCCGGCAGGACGCGGACCCGGGCACTGCTCCCTGGGATCCCGCCCAGGGGCGACGCCTCGTCGGCTCCGAGCTTGCCGAGAGCCGGCTCGGCGGAGCCCGCGGATGGCAGCCGGTCCGCCGGGCGCGCGAGCTGCTGTCGGCGCTCCCAGCCCTCGCGCGGCGTGCCACCAATGAGGCTCGCACAGAAGCGTTTTGTCTTTTGAGCTAAAACAGAGAGAGAAAAAAAAAACTCCCGGAGGCAGGGCTGACCACCCGGTCTGGATACCTACGCCAATTATCGCCGTGTGCGATTTCACTCCCTTCCCACCCTGCCTTTCTGCACAAAGCATTGTGCTTGAAACTGTTCTGCACGTAATAGGTTCGTAAATATTCGCCACACGTTGAAGGGGGGGAGAAAAAAAAAACCTGGGGGTTTCGATCGACAGATCTGATAGACCAGTGTTTACGGTTTCAAATTTTAGCTCGTTTAGGGCCTATTTTTACCCCTTAATCCTTGTTGATTGCTTACAAGGTGCTGTCCTAGGCACGGAATGGGATCCAAACTATAAAAATAGGATCCCTACCTCAAGGAGCCCAAGCCCAGGGTATTTACTATATTTGAAGTTGGCTGCAGAACGTAAACGAAAGGCTATTAAAGGTACCAGCTGTGGTGAGCTCCGCGGAGCTTAGATATGTCCTTCCCCCCCCCTTTCTTTCCCATATTCTATCCCAGTACCCAGAAGCATCTAGTACATGATTAATAAATAATTAAACAAATTATTTTAAGGGGTGACTGCCTTTTTTCTTAAATACAGCGCCTTTGCATTTCATGCAGAAATGTTTGGTTTTTAAGTAAGAAACTAATCATGTGGCTAATGCACTTTTTGCTTATGATTTACTGATTCCCACATTTTTTTTTCATAAACCCAAGCCTTCTCACTGGCATTTGGAGTATTTTGCTCTTTTCTTTCTTTAAATGGCTATCTCTGCCTATTAAGTTCATCCTGTAACTATCTGCCCTTTTCTACAACTTGTCAGGGTTATTAATAATCACTGGAGCTCTTTAAGCTCTCTCCAAGATTTCCATTCTCACCTACTGGTACTCAGAATTTGATATGGTGCACAATGCTCTGTAGTTTTCCTGGCTGTGTCAGCTTATCAGAGGAATATATGGGAATTGAGAGTTGTCACTTGTGGTTGTGGACTGAAAGAATGCATTTTAATTTGAAACCACTGAACATTTCAGTTCATTCAGGAGTTTCATGGTGGTTGTACCCTAGATGGGGCCCCACTGTCTTATCTCTGCATCATTGCAATATTTGTGGAATTCCGAAAGCAGTGTAAGTGGAATAACTGGAATAACAAGTAATAGAATTGAAAATATATTCCTTATCTTACCACCCAGATTTGCTGGTGTAAGAATAGAGAACGTGAATATTGTTTCTCTGCGGTATTGGCAGAAAGCTAACAAGTCAAAGTCTCCACTGGAGAGTGTTTCTCCTAGCAGAGTTAATCTCGTGGAAGTTATTAACACCCAGGAACATTAGCGACCCTGTCCCTAAATCTGTTCACCCCACCCTGCGTGTTTTAAGAATTTAAAAGTCAAAAAAGAATGTGTGACTAACTCTCACTGGAGTTCCAAATTTAAAAAAAAAAGAAGTATCTGCAGCTAAACCTGCTAACCAGCTTTCCTCCCTTTTCTCTGGAATGGCCCTTGATTCACAAGCGCAACACCTTCGTAACAATGCAAACTATACAAACTGGGGAACTGAGGAAGGACAAAAGGAGAAATAAAGAGCTAAACAACTTGAGCTAGCACCACTCATTACTCCAACCCAAGACCTAGCCAATGCTGGAATGCCAAGCCAAGAACTTCAATTGAACCTCAAGTTATTCCCAGGTGGAAGAATCTTGCAAAGCCAGTTCCGTCTCCAGATTCAAGTCATGTGTGGGCTGGATGAGGAGACAGGTAAATAAATGACACAAACTGTTTCTGGACTAAAGAAAGATTATCTTTCTGTGCTGCAAACTCAAATAGTGGAAGGCAGGGTGGGCGTTTGGTATGGCAGTTAAGAAATGGCTTAGGATGGCCCTACTCATCAGAACACGCTCAGGGCTTGCACTCTGGAGTCCAACTTCCTGTAGACCTCAGGGGGCGGCAGCTGATGGCCCAGGGAATTGAGTTCTCAAGGAGCAAGATCTGTGCTGAATTCCAGGCTTCTGGCTTTGTCCTGGCTCAGCACTGGCTATTACAGGCTTGAGTCATGAAACAGCAGATAGGAGCGCTCTTGCTAACTGTCTGCCCATAACTTTTTTTAGGAAAATTTAAGCTCAGGCCTGGCAGCATGACTCAATGGCTAAATCATCACCTTGCACGAATTGGGATTCCCTATGAGTGCTGGTTCCTGTCTTGGCTGCTCCACTTCCCATCCAGCTCTCTGCCTGTGACCTGGGAAAGCAATAGAGAGTAGTCTTGGGACCTTGGGACCCAACACCCACGTGAGAAATCCAGAAGAAGCTCCTGGCTCCTGACTTTGGACCACTTCATCTGCACCCATTGCAGCCACTTAGGGTAAATCAGCAGATAAAAGATGTTTCTGTATCTCTCTCTAAATCTGTATTTCCAATAAAAAATAAATAATTCTTAAATGTCTTAACTTGCAGCTCAAAAAAAATTTTTTTAATTTACTTTTTAAGTCAGAAGTAGGCCTAGAAATGGGGCATATGATTGAACTTACCTTTGAAATGGGGTAGTGTGCCATACAATCTGAGGAAATCTGCCTTCGGATAATTTGCTTGCTTTGGTACACATCAACATCCCCATATAAGTAAAATATCAGATCTGGGCCTTCATCTAGAGGAAGAGACTGAGAAGATCATCTATATAAGGGACAGGTTTAAAAAAAAATAGAAACAAAGATTAAAAAGCGGATAGGTTTCACTTAGAACAACAATTTGAAAAATTTTCTTCTTCTCTCCCCTCGCCTTTTTAAAAAAAGATCTGTTTACTTGAAGGGCAGAGTTAGAGAGGGTAGGTGGGGGAAAAGAGAAATTTTCATTCTTCAAGTGGTTGAAGCAGACAGGGCAGGAGCCAGAAGCATCATCCAGAAGCAGCACCCACATGGGTGCATATGCCCAAGAACTTGGGCCTTCTTCCATTGCTTTCCCAGGCACAAAAGAGAAAACTGGACCAAAAGTAGAGCAGTTAAGCCTTGAACCACTGTCCATAGGGAACTCCAGCACTTCAGGCATCAGCTTAACCCGTGTGCTGCAATGCTGGCCCCACAAATTATTTCTACTACCTTCTAGCTGCCACAAAAATCTGTGTTCAGGAGCCATTGTGGTAACATAACAGGCTAATTCTCCGTCCCATATGGGCATCAACATGGCATCTCATGTAGGCCCCAATTCTAGACCACCTGCTCCAATTCTCAGCCAACTCCCTGCTTATTAACTGGGAAAGCAGCAGAAAATGACCCAAGTGCCTGGGAGGCTGCACTACATGGGAGACCTAGAAAGAAGCTCCTGGCTCTGAGCTTCAGCTCTGGATATTGCAGTTATTTGAGGAGTGAACCAGCAGATGGAAGCCTCTTTCTGTCTTTCTCTATAAAATTCTACCCTTTAAATAAATAATACATCTTTTAAAATAAAATTATATTAAGATAGCATAAGTCTTCCTGAAGTGGCATAAGTAATAAATTTATTGTGCCAGTACTTTAATACATATATGGGAAAAGATTTTCCATGTCAAGGAAGGCAGATAAAGATCTACATATCTTTTTACGAATATCCTCCTCTCCCAAAATGCACATGGTGGAAAGAAAACCCTACTTCCTAGCTTTTGCTGCTATTTATTCCTCTCCTGCTTACGTCCAGCCTTTGCACTGTGCTGTGCCAATGGTCACCAAAAGACACATGCTGAGAAGAATAAGGATGTGGGAGTGGATGAAGGGGAAAGCACTAGGGCAAGATATTTTAGAACAGGAGAAAGAAAAGAGATCAGAGAAGCTAGCATGATGTATCCAGCACTTTATGAAAGCTACACCAACTCAGCTAGTAATGTGAATCTCAACACCCAACTGGTTTCTCTGTAATATCTCAGAGGTAACTTTTTCTCCCAGTTACCATCCCCTTCAAAAATTAGATGAAAAAAAAAAAAATAGAATTCCCTCCCCAACCCCACTCTGCAATCCATGTTTATAATCATAAATGTTTAGTCTTCCTGAACAGACTCAAGTCCTCCCCAGACTGAATAGCACCTTCTCAACACTGCTGGCAGAACACCTACTTGGCCCTCAGTAGTTTGGAATTCTGTTGCCCATGACCTGCCCTCCAGCAGCTGGAAATGTGTATGAGGTGGGGAAGAGGAAGTGTTAACTAGAATTAATTATGCTTATGTTTTGTTTGC